TCCGGCCCCAGAGGCGCCTCCGCCGTACCCTCCGGTCCCGGAGCCGCCTCCGCTGTACCCTCCGGCCCCAGAGGCGCCTTCGCTGTACCCTCCGGTCCTTGAATCGCTTCCGTTGCACTTTCCGCCTCAGGAGTCGTCTCTTCTGCACCTTTTTGAGGCGGAGCACTCTCCCCAGCACCCTCCGTCCCTGGGACCGTCCCTGCTGCCTGAGCCGTCTCCGCTGCGTCTTCCGGCACTGGCACCAGCGCTGCGGCGGCGACCTCAGCGCTGGCCTTCCGTTGATGGTCCTTCACCCCATGTTCCACCTCCTCCTCTGTGAACTCCACACCGGTCACCTTGCCCGTTTCGGGCACGTTGTATATGGAGCCGTCCATAACGCGCCTCTGGGAGGCCGTGGTCAGTTGGGTCGCCGTCGATGCTACCAGCGAGCTCTGCGACATGACACTGACTCGCGAGTTCAGCTTGCGCTGTCGCTGCGCCTGGCCGCCGATGATCTGGCCGTGGAAGGATTTGGTGGACACCGTGGCCAGCATGTCTGGGTCGGTGCTGTGGACGCTTGCGCGGCTACTGGGCGCTGCATTATGGCTCTCGGACACACGGTTTCGTGACGGCGCGCCCGTGTTGCTGTTGAGCAGACTAGAACCGGTCGGGCTGGGAGCCGTCGGAGTGGTCCCGCCCTCCTGCGAAGCCTGCTGGCCGCTGGACACCACAGCTCGCAGGCTCTTCTGTAGCTTAGTCTGACTGGCTTCCAGCTGGCTCATGCTGATGTTCTTGTCGCGCTCCAATTTCTTCAGCTCTTGTGACAGGCGGTTGTGCTCAATCGTGCTTTGAGCCGTGTTTGCAGGCCGCAGCTCATGCGGTACCAAGTTCCTCTTGCTTGGCATTGTATTGTTAAAAGATATGTACAGTAAGGAAATAATAACGTATCTATGCGGGACAAAATAAAACCTAATGTCACTCAGGTTTTACATCGTTCGCAAACGGTCCTTAGTTCAATGTTATACACGAGTCTTAAATCAAATTAACTCGAGTTACATCACGCCGCAAAAACGGCCGGTTTTTGTGCGCTCTTAGTCACTGACAAACTAACGCCATCGCTCGTTCATTCATTGGTTTCCCTTCCTTCATCATTGACATTCATTGGTTTCATCCTGTTGCCATGGCAACGGATTAGGCGCACCAGTTTGTCATTTTCATGTATTCATACAACTCATGGCAAGACAGATTCAGTTGCCCGTTCCAAGCATTCGGTCATTCTAAGAGAGCTCTTATACTTCTTTCAACTTTTATAGTTCTTATACTTTATCCCAACTTGTTTGAATGCCGCTGAGCACCTGCTTGCATTCTGAAGACCCATATTCATTACATCATCTGCCAATAACATTCACATGTCCACCCGCACCCATGCCGACTGTCATGGTGCCGTCCAATGATGCCGAGCATGGTCTACCTGATGTCCACATTTAAACGTGTCCGTGAACCAGAAGCACTAGTTTAAGGACGGCGCTTGGAGGACTCGAGTGACATCTGGTGGCGCAAATGGTCAAGTGATCCTTAGTTCTACCCTAGGGCAAAAACAAAAACAAAAACTATGGCTGCTTGCGTTCAGCACAGTACAGCAAATGAAGTGACGCACATGGCGCAAGTGAGGATCATTTAGCACCACCAGAGAGCGCTGATCTCATTCCGCTGCGGCTAGCCCTGTAGGCCGAGAGAAAACGAGGCCGCGAAGTCACGAAACGGCTGCATCCAAGGGCAAAAATGCGATAAAAAACGGCAAAAACTGATTCAGACATCCCGGCATGTCAAGAACTATTCCCTGATTCCGGGATTCTAGCAACAAGACTTCGCAAGTCGATCACAGCGCGTCTGCACATCACAGAAGAACAGCCAACGAGCTCCGAGCCAGGCAAACCCGGCGTCTACTGGGCCGTCCACTGGCTGCAGCTCGTCCTCAATCCGACGCCGAACACCGAGTGGCCGCGGCCGGCGGTCGGTAAGGGGTCGGTGGCCCCGCGCAGCGTCGCCACCCGCAGGTCAGCCTCGCTTCAGTAGGCCGAACCGAGCGCAAGCCGGGTAGCCCAGCTTGTCCAGGCTGGGCTTACAGGCAAGGCTGATCATGGCTGGCGGGCCGCACATGAGCACGAGCGTCTCGTCGCCGGGCGGCGGCAGGTGCGCGGCCAGCCATCTCGGCCGTCCACGAAGCCGCTGCTGTAGCGCCCAGCCGGCGGGGCGGCCGGTCCACGCGTGTACCAGACGCGCAGCCGGTCCGGCCGCGCCGCCGCCAGCCGGTCCAGCTCGTCACGCAGCAGGATGTCCGCCTCCGTCTGGTGGGCGAACAGCAGCCAGACGCGGCTGGCGTCCGCCGGGTCCCCGAGCACACGGCGGATCAGCTGCAGCATGGGCGTGATGCCCGTACCACCGGCGATCAAGCCGAGCCGCGAGGCCCGCACGGTGACGGCCGGCGAGCGCCGATCGGGCCGGATGTGGAACTGACCGGGCGCCGCGTACGTGAGCAGGCCGCCAGGGCCCTGCAGTCCCACCGTGTCGCCCAGCGCCAGACGCTCCAGATGCTGCGACATCCTGCCGCCGGCCGGGAACTCCGGCCGCCGGCCGCCGAAGTACAACCTTGACCACGAGCTCGACGAGCCGCGGTCGTCTTCGCTCGAGACGGGCGTGTACGGCCGCAACCACCAGCTCGTCGCCGACGCGCGCCGACAGGAACACGTGCTGCCCACCTGCAGGCCCAGCACGTGCTCGGCCGTTGGCAGTGCGAATCGGAGGCAGCGCGTGTCCGGACTCAGCTCTCGCCGCTCGATAAGCCCGCAGCCGGTGCCTGGTGGCGGGGTGCCGCAGCAGGCGGGGCGGGCTCCGGCGCCGCCGCCGCAGGTACAGCTGGCCGGCGACAGCCGTCAACAAGACCACTGCCATGCGCCGATACCACAGACAGCACCACTGCCCGCCACCTTGAAAAAGCCATTACTGGGGAGAAATGTGAAATCTGTAAATGTGCATGCCTGGTACTCTGTTTAACTACTTGGACATTGAGACATCCATCATGATAAAACTGTTTGATAAGACATAAATTGCTGCCTTCTGTACAGTGGCTGCACAGTGGCTTGATGCATGAGCACTCATGAGTATCTGTACAATAGGTATGTGTCAGCTATATTAAAAGCCAATAGCAACAACTGTTAAGTTTGTGAAAGTGGCAAGCTAATGGTGCCTGGTTTACCAAAGAATGTCACTAGGAACATTTTTTCATTTGAACACACAGACAACCATTTTTCAATCAAATTGATTCAATAATGATATCAGGCATTATATGCCTTTCAGGTAGGTTACAAACTGACCATGGGCCTTGTGCATGAAGATATTGGTTTAACTTGGATAAGTCCCAGTAAATGCCTTGTAATGATTAAAAAGTAGCCTGGCTGGAAATGGAGTGTCAATGAATAGCCAAACATCTGCTAGCAACTAGTTCCTACAATTAGAAGATGGTCCAGTTTCAAGTCCATTTAGTGGGGAACAAAAGAAAGAGTTATGCTCAAACACTTGGGCCCCAGCCTGACTACACAAACAGTGCATGCTAATATCACTCTGCATAAGTACAATGCAGGACTGGCATCTATCTTCAACATGGCACATGTCAAACCTAAAATTTTCATGAAATATTCAAGCACATAAAGAACAAACTGCTATAAAAACAATTAAAGCCCAGTGTTTTAACTACAACATGCCTTAGTTCTCAGCATCAAAACAAGTAGGGAACACAAAATCCATGAAGTTGTAGTGAAGTTCAAGGTCCAGTTGTTCTTTTACATTGAATGATTTATTGCTTGATTACAATTCTGCCTAGTTACAGTTAATCATGCTTATTAATATGATCCAAGACAATCACCCCCACATATGCCTGCTTAGTTTTGTAATTTATTTATACCTTGCTATCAAAAGCTTACAGCTTCTAATCAGTTTTACTCTCCCCAGTTTTGTAACTTATATCCACCAAAGCCCAGTAACTCAGAAACCATTAACAAAGTCTATAAGCTGATTACTAACAAGTTGGTGATCTTCACATCATCTACAGCCTGTGCCCCTCTTGTCCCACTGGCAACATGTGGTGTCACTACATAGTTCTGTGAACCTGGGGCACCAGGCATTAATGTTTGAAGTTTAACAGCATAAGCACAAGATAACTTTGAATTCGCTTTTCTCATGCTTAATAGCAAAGAGAACACAAAACTTTCAGCGGCATGACTTCCCACAGTTGTGAGGCAAGGACTGGGCCTCATCACTACTCCAGCTTTTTACGTTGCCCTTAGGCCTACGAGCATGCATGCACACGCGATTCCCCTGTCCAAGACAAGCGGTGTTGACTTGAAAAATTTGGTGAACTATCGTTCAAATACATCTGCCTGGCATGTAAAAGTTTTCATGGGAACAAAACCCATGGGAATATTCAAAACCTTACAAAAACTTCCCAACTGCAAACAGCTACCACGCTTGCCTTCAACTTATGAGAATGTAAAGCTCCATCATCCAGTTTAATCATGCAAAATTTGGCCTCCGAAAGGCGCATAGGAATAATGCGCCGTCACGACAAACAAGCCATTCCTAGCGGGTTCCTCAATTATTTAAAACGGATTTAAACCGTGCGTAGAACCCTGCCACTACACGTGCGATTGACGCGTGGGTTCCGATGGTATTCAACATCTTAAATTGTTTGCAAATACTTTTTGCATACCAAAAATTTGGGCAAAGCTGCGATAGCACTTTTGCTTATTTATGCAGCTTGAACAGTCCTCATTTTAAAAACTGAAAGATTTCTTTCATTTTCTATTTTGACAAAATTCAACGTGTTATAAACACACCGTGAATGAACAATAGTTTTGATACACGAACTACCAAAAATATCCCAACTTAGCCAAACCAACTACCATGAATTCTACCAGATTTTTCTAAGGCTAGAATATTATGGGGCAGTTCTAGCGCTTTTAGGGCAATATATGTTTCTTTTTCTTCTTCCTGTGGCATGTATATGACGGCTTGGGGAGCTGATTTGCCTTGAAATCAGATAAGATCAAATCGTAAGGTTTGTTTTGTCGTGTCCACAAACCCTAAATTTGCAGAGGTGCGTAAACAAGTGGTGTCTGGACTTGGTGTCCTGACCCGTGTGTTGTGGGAACGTTGTGCTAACCAACTCTGTTTCTTCAGTTTAGGTAAACCAATGCATGCAGCCGAGCTTCCAAGCCTTAGGGTCTGTGCAGCCCTGTGTGGTCAAAGTTGTGTGTTGGACTGGAATGAAGTCCGGACTTCAAAAGATGCATGCTACAATTTCTGTCAGTGTAATATCTGGAGCTGCAGGGATGTTGCAACAGTAGTATTTTGCATGTTGCCGTAAATCCAGGCACCCAGATTTTGTTGCATGATTGCTCACAATTTCAGTTAAAAGGGAGCCATTATTTCACTTTCACTGTGGCAATGGGAACATTGACAAGGAGGGATCCCCTAAAGTTCTCAGGAAATCAAAACAGGCTAGATACCAAATTGTCAAACAAAACAGATGTCATGCTAGAATGAGTTATGGTTGATGAGACTGGATATGGTAAGCTCAAGAAGCCTTTTGAAAATGAATACTACATGGTACAAGGTATCAATGCACTATGATGCAAGTGTATTTTCAGTCAGAAAATTGTGAACAAACATTATTCACATAATGTTGATTGGAAATTAAAGTAGGCATGAATATGTTGGATGTGATAGATGTACAGCCCCTTGTGTATGATTGTCTAGTGCATCATAATTTTTCAGACTGCCAGGTGGAGCTGTCATGAGGTCTAACAATATGCTTCTAATATTGATGATTTAATTATGAGGCGGCTTCCACTTACTTTGGCACGAACTGGGCCTTACTGGCCTTCAAAGCTGTGCCATCTGTTAGTCATATCATCATATTTATGTTGGCTTATGAATGTAACAAAATAAGAAGCATTCTTAATGGCTTATGAACATGACAGCATGACCAACATGGCTTAGTCAACCATGGTCAACCCCTTGGGATGCCCTGAACTGATCAGATAACTGGCTGCTGATTATATCTCAAGTAGCTGGTAGTACAATTTGTTTTATATCAGCATTGTCCTACTACCTTATCAAAAGCTATGCTGTATATTAAAGATGTCTATGTTGGAAAGAAATCCAGCTGCCATAATCTAAAGAGCAATCTGATTTGACCCAGTCTACTAGGACAACTGTGAGAAATAGCTGAATAGAAATAGCTAATAGAAATAGCTAGAAAAAGTTGTAGCTTACATGTTAAAGTTATATCATGTTTTAGCCTGTTATTCAGACATCTGGTATAGAATCTGTATCAAACAGTTACCATATGTTGTAGAGAGTGAAAAGGTGTTGAAGCCAGGTGGAAAGGGCTTTGGGTCATGTCCCCACCCTGGAGGTCCTTAGGGGCCCTCTGGGGTTAAAGGCTGCACAGCCTTTTTATTGCATGTCATGTGTGTAGAGTTTCTTCAACACATAAAACAGGCCATCAGGGCATAAAATTTGTGCCTGGAGCCAAAAAGCATCATCTAGAACCAAAAACTCCCATGGTAATGCAGGCTCCCTGGGCTGAAAGGGTTCCTTTCATGCCAAAATTTGACCCTCTCATGGGAAAAAGATTGTTTCTGAAGATAACAGGGGATCAAAATCTTACCTTCAAAAATAAGCAGCTGGTTAACCAGGCTCATTGCCATTTTGAACATGGATCATAATTCAGTTAACCAAAACATGCTCTGTGAGCTATTTTTCTACATTTCTTTTGCTGTGAAAATGCAGGCCTGGCACCATTCCTTCCACTAATTTCACCTGATAGCATCCTGTCACTAATGATGGCTGGCAAGCTCTTGCCTACTCCCAATGCTCCCTGTCTCATGGCAAACCTCCATGCTTCCAACCATTTGGTGCTACAGACCTGCTGTTCTTAAGATGTTGGCACATATTTGTGTCAAATTATATCTGTATCTGGTGTGTCACCACTCAGATGCAGATATACATAAAAATAAAGGATACATCAACATTAATCATACATGAGGATGTAGGTAGCTCTGGTTTTGGAATTGTCTGCCAAAAGTTGCAATTTTTCCAATGACCTTGGGCCCAGCTTTACCTGAAAGTCATTTACCATGGCTGGCTTAGGATTTTTGCCATTGGAATGGTTGGCTTCGATTCTGCCCTCATCTTTGTGTCGTTCATAATAACTGCTTCAGTTTCCTCTTCAAACATGGCCCTGGCCTTTTTTTTAACCTCTGGAGATCTTGAATTGCTGGCTTCAGCTTTGTTGTGGTGATTCTTCTCTGTAGTTGTGTCCTGGCTTCCCAAAAAGTATTTCACATTGTGTCACCACTATCAACCCAACATAACACTATGTGTTGAGGCTGCACCAGATGTGACTAAAGCAGTCAGTCAATGTCAGGGCCAGTGAACACCTGGCAGCCACATAAGAACTAGATACCCAAAAGCTAGCAGACATACTAACACAAGATGAGATTGACAATCCAATAATATGTTCCCTAATGCTAGCATCTCATTTTCATCACTTTGTGAATCCTGGGTAATGCCTTCCATTCCTGTAAGTTTTAGTAGACATGAGGACAGTTTTGATTTTCCAAAACAATGTAGGGTAGAATCAGCAATGGCTTCAGCCTCTTCACAGTTGACTTCACTTCACAGTTCCAAACGTCGATGCCACCGGGTTTAGTTTCAGTTCATACCATTGTCTTAACTTCGTATTCGGCTTTGAACCAGATGCCTGGCTTTGTTCCCATGCTTGGGCTCAATGATTTAGTTCACAGACTGTGTGCGTTTTTAATGACATTCCCCCATGCAAGCAAGAATACGGCCGAATCCAATAAACACGGCCATTAGCCTGGGCTCTCACGATCGGATGGTGGCGTGCGGACATACGTAACAAGCACCGCTTAGCATTGGTTCTGATTCCAGAATCCAGTCGAAAGGCAAATCTGAAAAAAACTTCAGAAATATTGCTGTGTTGCACATGATGGTGCGTCATATGCAGGTTTTTATATAGCATGTACAGTTAATTCCTAAGCCATTGCCACTGAAACCGGTTCCACTCACACACATTCTGGATTCAAGCCATGTCCCCTGGAAAATCGGAATCGACTCACAATTGTGATTGCTGCTCACAAGTCGGCGTCTGAATCAGCCTGAAGCTGCAGCGTGAGTTGGGGTTGGAATCAACGCTTGCTGGAGCGGAACCGGGCGCGAGTGCGAGTAGTACCAGCATTAATTCCGCGGGCGTTGCGACCACTTCCCGGCCCGATGCCGTCTCCTGGGGTGACGCCGGCTGAGTAAAAGGCCCCCCCATCAGGCTTAAACCAAAGAACCCCACGCACGTGTCGGGCGTATCAGCCACTCTCCCACCCAGGCTGTGGGATTTCGCCAACTGATTGTCATGCATTGTCATACTGCTGGTGTCCAAGAGTTCGAGCCCTCACAGCGCCAGTTGTCACGTGGATGTCAGGAGCCAGTGACTACGTGTCTGACACTGGCCTTCTTCGTTTCAGCAGCCATGTCTTTCCTCCAGATCAGCGCGTTGACTCAACAGCAAAAGGTGAAGAGCGTCTACAAAGCGTGCGCTCCGTCTTCTAGAGATGTACCTTCACCACAGGTTTGTTAGCATATTTTATCTTCCTTCCCCAAAACCATCGATGTTTTTTCACATTAACTGTCAGAAATAAAGACCCCTTGCCCTGTGGGGCCCAGTGTCATCTAATGCGCCGTGCGCTTGATGTTGAGCGCTGTTCACGTATTTTGCCGAATAGACATCAGACCCCAGCATGACCTGGCTGGCTGAGCCATAATCTCCGGCCGGCCATGTCGTCCTGTTCGTTCGCTCGCAAAATACGCCCGCTGAAAATCCGTCGTGTCTTCGCCGTCGCGTTTGAACCTTCCCCTGTTGACTTCCGGTTCCTCGTTAGTTCAAGGAGGCCTCCGCTGAGTGGTACTCCCCATTCGACTCCCCTTGCATATACCATGCTGCCGTCGGCGTCTGTAGCCGTGAGGCGTGGACGGCGATCGGACGATCATAAGCCTACCTCCGAAACCCCGTCTCGAATGATCACCAGTCAGCGCCGCTCGGTGCTGCACTCATGCCACGCCCCTTCGGTTCTTTGCTGCGCCGCTCGGTGCTACACTCATGCCACGCCCCCCCCCCCCCCCCCCCCCGGTCCGTCCGTACGCCGTTCGGTGCTACACTCATGCCACGCCCCTCCGGTCCATCCCTGCGCCGCTCGGTGCTACACTCATGCCACGCCCCTCCGGTCCGTCCCAGCGGCGCTCGGTGCCACACTCATGCCACGCCCCTCCGGTCCATCCCGACAAAACGGCCCCCAGACGAAGCTTGCTTGCCATTAGCGGTCTGAGCAGAATCGTGTACGACGGCGGCAGTGTAAAGAAGCATCTCATCACGAGAGACGGCATTATCGCATTATCGTTTTCAGACACCACTTCCGATACAACGCCGTGCTGCTGCGGGCCGAGTTCGATAAGCATGCCAAAGAGAAGGACATGGTGAAGGTGAAGAAGCTGCTGGAGGATGCCGAGTATCAGCTGTGGAGCAACCAGCACTACCAACCCAAACAATGTACGTCCTCCGTGATAATGGTCGCCCACCTCCGGGTTTCGGGAGGGCTCTTCGGGTGGAGGGCCTGTCAGGTGCATACAAATAATTAAATCTGAGCTCAGATTGTGGTGGATGCCTTTCCATGGTCATATAGCCCCTGTTTGGTGTATAAATCATAAACTGACCTGAACAGTGCCAAAATATTTGCAGCTGTCCTAGGTAGAGGGTTCCAGATCTGTGATGTCAGAAGTGTAGTTTTGTAAATGCACGTGAAGAGCAGAGCAGGCACCATTTGGTCAAACTAGTCCAAAACCAGGATCAAAGCAAAAAACTATGAATGTGATAATCTCCATATATGAAGGTGCTGGGGATCAGCACGAAGCCTCTGGTGTTGTTGGGTTTTGCCGTCCCGTCCCAGGGCTGTAGCAAAATGCATTCCTGAAAGGGTCTGCTTATGACAAGAGCAAATGGTTTCCTGATTGACACGCACTGGTGCGAAGTTGTGGCTGCGCTCCGATGTGCATCAGGAGTTTGATTGGCACGCACTGGTGCGAAGTTATGGCTACGCTCCGATGTGCACCAGGAGTTTGATCGGCACACGCTGGTGCAAAGTTGTGGCTGTGCTCCGATGTGCATCAGGAGTTTGATTGGCACACACTGGTGCGAAGTTGTGGCTGCGCTCCGATGTGCACCAGGAGTTTGTGCCTAGAGAACAATGTTTACCAACAAATCTCCGATCAGATGGGTTGCTCCTTCAGCTTTGAAAGGCTTCTCTGCTGACAGCAACCATATGTGGGAGGGGATATACAAGGGCTTGGCAGAGATCTGCCTCCATGTATTTTGCGTCTCCTACCCGCATGCTTAAATCGCATCGTCATACTTCCGGGAGCGAGAATGGAGAACAAGGACTAAAGTTATGAAATAAATTTACGCATTTTAAATTACATTTTTTGCCTACTACCACCATTTTGAAACCTGCCAATGTGGTGCTTGGTCTGCGCATATTCTCACCAGCATAGCAAGCTTCTTCGGGTTGAGATATTGAAACCCGCCCCCACAGGCGATCACAATTTCCGTGTTAGACTGCATTCAGAACACGCCGGAACACATAATTACTGTTGTTGGGAAAGCAAAATGGTAGAATGTACCGATGGTGCCGTCTTTTAAGTGGCCCCCGCTGGGGCCGTGAGCTGTCGTGAATGTACGTTGAACGCCATCTTTAATGTGCCGCCGTTGCTGCAGTGTGTTGTCGAGATTTTACCGATGGCCTTATCTTTGCTGTAGCCCTCGTTGATGCAGTGTGTTGTGGAGCGGCGCTGACGTGTGTGCCGTCGTCTCCGCCAGTTCCCGACTCGCCGGGCGGCGTGGCGCACGAGCGCGAGGTGGTACCCCCCGACTGGGTGCTGGACGGCTGGCACCCGCTCGAGAAGGCCATGTACCCCGAATACTTCGCGCGCCGCGAGGAGCGCAAGAAGGAGTACGTCAAGTGGTGGGAACAGCAGTACGGGGGCCCCGACGCCGCCAAGGATAAGCTGCATTGAGCCGCCAGTGGCGCCGCCCAGCGGGTTACATCGGAAGCTGCCGCGATGCGCGGCCCACACCATTAGAGCAATGCGTGAAATGCGGAGAAGTGCTCGGTCCCAGTGTGTGAGATGAACAGACGGGTGTTTGGACGCTCCGTGACGCGGTGCTAGAGCACTGCTGTCGTGCAAGTAAGGTGTGGATGCCTGCATGCTCTTCATGCCCAATGCATTGGAACTTTGAAGGCCTCAACCCTTGCCAATGGCCACCTAGGGTTTTAAGGAATGGTAAGCCACTCGACGAATGACAGGTGATTGTGTGACGTTCTGAAATCATGTATTGGGCCGCTGTCTCTGTACATATTAATATATGAACAGCATGATGCCACACAACGCCGTTTATCTCTGGCTAAAGCACTGTGCGGGGGGAGATGAATGGTAAAAATATGCAGCACAGTCGTTCGTTGTTACGACGCAGTGATCGAGTACGAAGCAGTCTGTTGGCAATGCGCATGTGACGTGAACGCACATTGTCGGTCGACGTTCCGACTCAAGTGAGTTGGCAGACGCTTCACCGTTATGAACAAAACAAAAACAGAACCAAACAAAAAATGGCATAGTTTGACTTTGCACAGCGCGGCACCACACCACCGCCATCCGGGCTGATGCTGGCGCCATCACCAAATGGTTGCTGACTGTCATGGCGCCATATGCGGATTTGAGGAAAGTACACCTGACGACTAGGTTCCCGCCCCCCAGCGTTTACGCGAAATGCTCGCTTGCACTGCTGTGCGATGTCCAGTCTCAGTGACGGGCGAGTGATGGCCCTTACTACCAAATGTGACACTTTGTTTTCCAAGTTGAAGATTGGGGGAGGGGGGGGGGGGCTAAAGCCCGGGTCGGGGAGCTGGGAGCCACCCAACTGAAAAGGAAACTACGCCCCTGCTATTGTTGAATCCAGGAGTGCCGCAAAATGAGTTGGGCGAGGGGTGCGGCAAAGCAATGGCTAAATCTCTCCAGAAAATGCATAAAAGACGGATTTCTCCTCGCAGTTGTCTCGCTCTCTCCTCAAGTTTATGTGCTGGGTCCCCCAACTGTACTGAATATCTCTGGCTGGATGGATCCAACACAACATTATTTTTCTGCCGATGGCAGGCAGCTGGCTTGAAGCCGCGCTTCGTAACATGTTGACACATTCTTTCGGCTTTATTGTTACAAATATGATTATGGTCTACCTACATTACCTTCCTAAGATCTCAATTCTGCTTACAAAAACAATAACTGACATAAGATAAACAATGGATTTCAGCATTATATTATAGAGATGTGAGGTAAAGGTTTCCATTTCCGCGCGAGCGCAAAATTATGCTGCTGCCGTTTGCCATTTGCCATTTCTGGACATGCTTCCATATTACACTTCGAAGACTGAGCGGGGGACTGAAGTGCGTGGGCCGAGTGTATGCAAGGCCCTGGAAGTGTAAGGTGGATGGGGATTTGGGAGGCGTGGAGTTCGAGGTAGCCTTGTGCAACATTAAGACATTTGATTATTGGCCAGCGTCGGCGAATTTCTGAACTGGGTAAGATTCTTGTCAGTCATTCGGGATCTTACGTTAGTTTGACTGGAAATGGTTGTGGTAATGTTCGATCTGCGGCGATGTTTGGCAAGTGCCCGCATTTACAACAAATAATTTTTGAAATTAAGGGACTTCATTGTGGAGGGGGCGATTTTGGTTAGTACTGACTCACCCTGTCTGACCTCTTCATTGAAATTCAATGATGATATATGCTGGCAAACACCCCCCCATATATATATATTATATATATATGTATATATGTATATATATATATAATACATAATATATATATATATATATATATATATATATATACATCTGTTACATTTAACATCCTCCTCCACTTTTCAATGCTACATAAGTTGGGAAGGAGACATGTTAGCTTGTTTGCCTTATGGTGCTCTGGGATACTATGTGGTCTTCAATCACACAATTATTTTTAATCCTGAGTACCCTCTCATCAGTAGTATAATATGGGTCTGTATTTCATTGTTTCATACCAAATACAGTTGTTGTTCTGGCAGGCTTGGAAATGTTATGAGCATAATTGGGGTCTTGGAAATAATGCAAGTTCAGTCATGCAACATTATGGCTATGGGATCCTCCAGTTTGTGAAACCATCATGTACCATAACTGACTAGTCAGATGGGCATGAGCTTAAGATAGCACAGTCATATATAACTAGGTATTTCAGGTAGGGTATAGTTATGGAATACTCTGCAGATCCCTGACAGTTATTGATGGCTGCAGGCTAGAAC